CTCGAGCTGTTTCCTGCTCTTGTTGAGCCCCCTTCTGAAGTAGTCTAGCATTTTTCATGAAAGTGATTTGGTTTTTACAGTTCCTTTCATTTCTGATTATTGGGAAATACTCTAACTTCACCGTTGTACTTAAGTAACAGTTTTGCTAACTGTGTAATTTTTGGTTTGCTGTTTTCTCTCTTTCAGGACTTTATATGTATTCTAATTGTTGCCTTTGCCTACAGGCTCCTGCCAAGAAACTAGAGCTTAATTGGATTGGTTCTCTTATAGGTTACTTTCCATGTTGCCTAAGCTTCCTTAAGGCACCCTTGCCTTTGTTTTTCGAAAATGTGATGATGTATCTTGGTGACTTTCTTTTTGGCTCTATTGTACACAGGGTTCACTGAGCTTCCGGAGTGATCATATTCTCATTGTTCATAGCATTAAGGAAGCTCTCTGCCAATAGAGCTTCAGTGTTCATGGTGCTTTTTTTTTTTGTGGTCCCTTGCTGGTAATAGTGTCCCACATAATTCTTTTTTTGTTTGTTTGCTTAATCATTTTATTGGGGGCTTTTTTTAATCCTTTTATTAGGGGCTCATACAACTCTTATCACAATCCATACATACACCAATTGTGTAAAGCACATTTGTACATTCATTGTCTTCATCATTCTCAAAACATTTGCTCTCCACTTAAGCCCGGGGCATTAGGTCCTCACTTTTCCCCTCCCTCCCCGCTCCCCTCTTCCTCATGAACCCTTGATAATTTATAAATTATTATTTTGTCATATCTTTCCCTGTCCAGCGTCTCCCTTCACCCACTTTTCTGTTGTCCGTCCCCCAGGGAGCCACATAATTCTTAGGCATTCTATTTTATTGTTATTAACAGGTTAAGATTGAGATTTGTCTTCAATTTTGCTAATTCTGACTTCCATTGATTCAAATTACTCCTTTGCCCTTCCAGTTTGTAATCTCTGTGTGACATATTTGTGTTAATCTGGGTTTCTAGTCGCTGTTTTTATATAGTTTTTCATTTCCTATTCATTTTGTAAATTTGTTGTATTGTTATTTTTCCAAATTATTCCAGAATTTTGTTGGTGTTTTTCTTTTCTTTCCCCCCATCATATCCATGATCTCTTTTGGTGGTTTCTATAACATTTCTTCCTTTGGAAGATTTTCTGGTCCTGTATATTAGTCACTTTTTTTTTGCAACGGTTTAATGGCATATGATTTGTATATTATACACGTTAATGGTTCAGTCACATCAAGAAACATTGTACAATCCTGACCACAATTAGTGTTAGGGCACCTTCTTCATTCTTGTATTAGTCACTTGGTTGAACTATTGTGTTTGGGGGTGTGTGTGTGTGCGTGGTTTGACGTTATCTGCTGTTCCCTAGTCACTGTGCTGATACTAATGGATTTGCTTACGGGCGGTCTGTTGGTTTGCTTCCCCCGGTTTATTTATTTTGTTTTGCTGTAATAGCTCCAGCCATGGGGACAGGTGTTCCACTCTGTTGTTAGATGGGCAGCCCTGGGCTGTTCAGCAGCTGTTTCTGGGTGTTTGTAGACGCAGGTGGGACTGGGTCTGCTATGCAGAGCAGCTGAGGGCAGGCTGGGTGGGCATCGGCAGTTGTCTGGAAGTGATCTAGTGGTGCTGGAACAGGTGTGGCGGGTATGACTGGGTAGAGTCTTTTAACTGCTGGGAGTAAATAATGGTGACGGGGGGGAGGGGGTTTAGGAAGAGAAGAAAAACACGGGGTGGGAATTAAAGACCTAAAAAGAAAAAATTATTTTTAAAAGAGTGGGAGAGGAAACTAAAAATCAGAACAAACAAATGCAAAAGTGTATTACGTGTGTACTAGCCATGAGGCCTGGCGGCAGTTGGGAAGGAAAGCTCACGTGACAGGAGAATACACAGCTGACCCTGAGGTGGGCTCCAGAGCGGTGAGGGGACAGGGCACCCGTTGCACAGTATCCAAAATAAAAGAGAGTGGAGTGGGGGGAGGAAGGAAAAAGAGAGGCTAATAAGAAAGGGAAAAAGCAAGGAGGTGGCTGCGGAGGAGCACAATGCTAGTGCAAACCGTAAGTGCCAGACACAGTTCCGTCTATGCAGTGCACCGCTGTCCAGAGGGAGGACAGTGGGCACTGCTGCCCACTGAGGCAGGTAGGGAGGAGTCGGCCTCTGCTCTGCTGGGTTAAAGGAGTATAAGTGAGGGAGAAAGAGGAAGAAAGAAAAAAAGAACGGGTTGGGGATGGGGCAGCCCAATTAACCATGAAAGTGCTGGTGACTAAAATGGCCGTGTCAGGAAGGCATATAGTATCAGTAGGCAAACATTGCCACCTGGGAGACTGCTAACCAAGCAGGTGGCCATGGGCATGGCATCCCCTCCCATAGGATCAAGAAAAGGGTGATGAAGAAGAGGTGTGGAGAAAGAAAGTGGGGGAAGGTCAATGGGAAGTGCTAAGATTTTTTTTTTTTAAGTGACACAGCACTGGCAGTGGAGAGAGGGTCTCAGCTGCCAGGTCTCAGCACTCCTCAGGAGGTTGTGTAAGACAAGGTTGTGTGACAGCTGACTGTGGCATGGATGCTGGGGCATTCCTCAGCAGGCAGGACCAGTGACCTCGTCAAGTTTCAATCTGAGTGCTACCGAAATCAATTTACTACTCCTCTCATCGGTATTTGATTCACTTCTTCCTTTGAAGCTCTGGGATCCAGGATTTGTATTCAAAGCTATTTCACTTGGTTTCTCAAATCATTGTTGTAGAGAGTCTAGGTGTAAAATATCTTGCCTAGTCTGCCCTCTTGGATCCGCCTCCAATATCTTACTCATTGCTTCCCTGTGTTTTATTTTACCTATTGCATTCTTGACCTAGAATCTGAATAGATTATCATTCAATGTCATTATCAGGTCAAAGCAGTGCCTCTTGCACAAGAATTACGGGGCAATATCTGATTTTATATTTCTGTATAAATGTCTTCAAATCTGAGGAAAATATGCAGGTAGCTGTGAACACCTCTGGGCCATGCTAGAGTAAACTAGTATAGAAGAATACCACAGTAAGTAAATTTTCATTGATTTAAGGACGTTTTTGCTCAGTGTTGGTACCCAAAGTTTTCTCCATCTTTTTGTCAAAAATAGTTCACCAAAGTTACCCTTGTTTGGAGAAAACTTCACCTGATGGATGTTATGACCTTCTTTGCCTTTCGGTCCTGGGTCTCTAAACAACACAGTTCATGTAGTGTGTATTGCATGTTCTTGGAGCGCACAGGTGCAGCTAGCTGGCTTTTAACAAAATTTTCCTCAGGAATAGAGTTTTGTTTTTATATTTATAAGGCAGACTGCTTCCTGTTTCTTTTGTGAAAATTCATAATATGAATATCTGCAACGGAATTTTTATCCAGGCTTACTTTCATCACCGTTTCAGAACTACTTCCCTGATGTAATTGATGTATGTGCCCCAATTTCACACTCATTTCAATAACCTTGGGGGAATGTGGTTGCTTTCTGCCATCAAGTTGACATAACTCTAAGCGACCTTGTAGACGCTATAGCACTGAGTTTGCCCCATAGTTTTCCAGACTGATCTCCAGCCCCTTTCTCCAGGATCCTCTGGTAGGTTCAACCCAAAGACCTCAGTGTTCAACCATTGTACTACTAGGACGTCTTGAGGAAAACATTTGGGGAAGGCACATCTCCTACAAAGCCCTAATGCAGTCCAAAGCCAATTATGGGACATTTCTTTTTTTTTTTTTTTTGTATATAAGGGAAAGGTTTATATACAAGAGGAATTGAACATTGAGAAAACATCCCAGCCCAGGTCCATAAGTCCAATATTAGCCCATATGTCCAATACCAATCTATTAAGTCCTCTTCAGACTCACGAAATACATGCAATGAAGCCAAATGCAGGATGATCACAGGCCAGTGGATGGAAAGTCTTTGAGTCCAGTGGTGTTGTAAGCATCTCAGTGCTGGCAGGGGTCTCTGTGGCTTCTCTGGCTTCTGAGGTCTGGTTGCGTCCATGTGGCTTATCTTCTGCAATGTCTTATGGGACATTTCTTAAGGCATTATCTTTGTCACTACTCCTCTCCAGTTGGGAGCTGACTTGTGCTCCTAGACTTAGAAATTGCATTTGATCTTGGTAATAAATTTGAAACATTGATCTCAACAGTATGAGTGCATCACACTAGCCCTGTGCTACCTTAGGCTGATCTCTAAGCAAAACGAGTGCTTTGGCAGTTTCTCATCTATGGTGGTAAGAACAACCTGTCATGCACCCTAGAGTTGAACAACTTTGGACCTTTGTCCATTCACATTTGTTTTGGAAGCCACTAGAATTTGCCGTCTAATGCATGGGTGTTGGAAGCCTCTTCCAGATTTGGGGTACCAGCTAAAAGGAGACTGTCTTAGGGCCTGCTTATGAAAGTACAGGAGAGCGATGTAGGGAAGATTATTTAAACATGTTTGGAGAAAGCCAACGTTTCACTGGGGAAACCCAGTGAAAGTCAATCATTGTAGAAGGTACTTGCTCTGCTAACCCAGACTGAAGCTCATGTAATGAATCCTTATTCATGAAAAAGTCCTAGCCACCAAAAGTGGTTTTTGTTCACTGTTGTGGGCAACATTGGTGAGGTTTGAAGGCCAAGTGGTCATTATCAGGTGATCATTAGTAGTCCACTAGCCTGAAGGATCATTGGCCTCTACTTTAAGAAGCAGAAGCAGTTTAGAGTAGGTTGATGGGCTGTTTTTTTTGACCATATGAAGTATAACTAAGTATAACACTTTATTAGGAATCTGGTAGAGGAGAACTTTAGATTGACCCTGAAGTTAAAAAGCAGGTTGTTGACTAAGGATGACAAAATAAGCTAAATGTATATCTTTCTTTAAGCTCTGAATATAGCTGTTTATTGGGATAGATTGATTTAGTCTTTATAATTCTCAGTATAATTGCAGTATCCTTGATGTATTTTTAAAAGCTGTCTGCAAGTAGCAAGTGGTCTCATTTTTTTCTTCACAGTTTTGGGGAATTTTGCCTGGTTCACCTGTTACTGAAGAGGAATCCTGTCATGTTCTTCCAGCACTTCATTGAGTGTATTTTCCACTTCAATAACTATGAACATCATGAGAAGTATAATAAATTCCCCCAGTCAGAAAGGTCAGTGCAATCAATTAAAGTAGTCCCTTTCTCTCAGTAAGACTTGAGTGAACCTCGGGCATTGTTCAGCTGCTTGGTGTACAATGTTTAGATACCGACCCTAACCTAAATATTTGTTTGGGGCACTCCTTGCTTTCCGTGGCCGGGCATGATAAGACAGTTCACTTGTGAGCATAAATTCCTAAGGGAGGTACCTAGGGTGAACATTTAGCCTCTAGACCAGAGGATGTACACTGGTCCAGATAGGAACTGGAAACACAGGGAAACCAGGGCAGATGAGCCCTGCAGGACCAGTGGTGTGAGTGGCGAAACAAGGAGGGTAGAGGGAGGGTGGGTTGGAAAGAGGGAACCGATTACAAGGAACTATATGTGACCTCCTCCCTGGGGGACGGACACAGAAAAGTGGGTGAAGGGAGACGTCGGACAGGGCAAGATATGACAAAATAACAATTTATAAATTATCAAGGGCTCATGAGGGAGGGGGGAGCGGGGAGGGAGGGGGAAAATGAGGACCTAATGCCAGGGTCTTACGTGGAGAGGAAATATTTTGAGAATGATGAGGGCAATGAATGTACAAAAGCGCTTTACACAATTGATGTATGTATGGATTGTGATAAGAGTTGTATGAGCCCCTAATAAAATGATTTTTAAAAAACAAACATTTAGCCTCATCAGGGTGCTTCAGCCCTTAGCATGTAGCTTTAGGGTACTTCAGTAATGCTGAATGGCGGTTCTTTTTAGCCGTGCCCACATGATGCAGTAAAATTGTCCTGTTTTGCCACAGAGAGAAGCGGCTTTTTTCACTGAAGGGAAAGACAAACAAAGAGAAACGAATGAAAATCTACAAGTTTCTTCTAGAGCACTTCACAGATGAACAGAGATTCAATATCACGTCTAAAATCTGCCTTAATATTTTGGGTAGGCGTGTGTGTGTGTGTGTGTGTGTGTGTGTGTGTGTGTGTGTGATATAATGTGTATTTAAAAGTCAAACTGTGCTGGTGATGGACCCAGCCAGTTTGCAGCCAATGTGAACTTCCCCATGAGGAAGACCCTTGTCTTTGTTCTCCCTCGCCATCGACTGCCTCCATTTAAGCCCACTTTTGCATGGTTGTATCCCACTTCCCAGGCAGTGGTTGGGTTTTCCTGGAGGCTGGTCTTTGATGCTTCTCATTATGCTTTCTCTCAGCGTCCTTTGTGGATGGCGTCCTTCCCTTGGATATGGAAGCCAACGAGCTACTCTCAGATACCTTTGAAGTCCTCAGCTCAAAGGAGATCAAGCTTTTGGCAATGAGGTCAAAGCCAGACAAAGACGTCCTGACAGAAGAAGACGACATGGCTTTGGCCAATGTAGTTATGCAGGAAGCACAGAAAAAGCTCATCTCACAAGTGAGTGTGGGGTCTTTCCTAAGAGTGTGCCTAGGCTCACTGCTTTCCCTGTTTGCCACTCAAGCATACCTACGGCCCTGACTTCTTCTTAGGTGTGGCCTTAAACCTCTCCTAGTTGATGATGATTCTCAGCCCATGTTCCCGACAACAACTTCTCTGTAAGCCTGAACCCTGGTCCTGCCTGGATGTTCTGCAGGCATCTCCAACTTACTGGGTCAAAGTCAAAGTAATCATCTCTATCTCTCATTCTTCTTCCCACCACTGTCCACATCCCAAGGTGGAAAAAATAAACAAAACACATAACTTACTGTTCCTTCTCCTATATTCTCTATTGGAGGACGCACCATTGTCCACAGCGTTGTCCAGAAGAGAAACCCAGTGCTCACCAGACCACACTTTGTTGTGTCAGGTGTAGATTTATTTGGCTGGTGGGTGTAGACAGTTAAACCTGCTTGGTTCAGGTAAATAGCTTTGTCATTATCTTCACCCGGTCCCTGTTTCTGTTTCTTGTCTGGACAATTCTTTGTATTTCTCACTTGACCACTGAATGATTTTAACTCCAAAGACAGACTTTTTTTTTTTTTTTACATCTACTTTGCCTCCAGATCTTGTCCGTTTTCGCTCTCAGATCCATCCATGCATGTCCTCTGCTCCTGAAATAACTTACTTGCCGCCTGTGCCATGTCCTGCCATTTCCCTAGCAGCCTTTTGTCCCTAGTCTCGGTCCCAAGCCATCCATCACACGAAAGTCGGTACAATCTTGCTTAAATACAAATTTGATCATTTTATTCTCCTGCTTAAAGTAAGTTGCAGGCAGATTAAATGCAAAGACCATTTTCAGTTACCAGTAAGGACACAGAATCTCCTGTTGAATAGCTAGAATTGAGCTAGTTTTAATTCCGAGAGGGAAAAATGTTGATTGGATGGATTGACTCTGGAGCGAAGAGTCAAGATTTTGCAGTAGGTTTATGGGGGTTGGAGCTTTTATCAAGGTCTTTCAGCATTTTGATTCATTTTCCTCATTTGTAAACTCTCAGTGCCATTGAGTCAGTGCCTACCCGTAGCAACCCTATACGACAGGGTGGAGGTGCCCTGTGAGTTTCTGAGACTGTAACTCTTTACAGGGGTAGAAAGTCCCATCTTTCTCCCTAGGAGCTGCTGGTGGTTTCAAACGGCTAATCTTGCAAATTAGCAGCCGGTGCATAACCGCCACGGCCCCAGAGTAGTATGCATCCTCTACATACTTGATGGCAGCTTTTTCACAGGGCCGAGAGAGTGCTGCTGAAGCCTCCAAAAGCAGTGGGTCCTCACGCGACACTGTCAGAACCCACAGTCAAAGAAGGAATGAGTATGAATGCTCTTTTTATTGTTAGCTGCGATTGAGTTGGTTCAGATTCATAGTAACTTTATGGCTAATAGAACAAAATGTTACCTGGGCCTGGACCATCCTGGCAGTGCTGCTTGAGTACATTGTTGTAGCCATGAGTGGCTACACTCATTGAGCACCTTCCTCTTTTTCCTGGACTCGGCTCTACCAAACATGGTAACCCTTCAGATAACATGACCAAAATACGCGGCTTCAAGTCTTCCCATTGTTGTTGATAAAGAACATTCTGACTGTGCTTTCCAAGACAGGTACGTTCATTCCTCTGGCAGATGATTTTTTTCCAAATGCTATAACTCAATTGCATCCATTCTTTGATCTTTCGCATTCATTATCCAGCTTTCTTATGCATATGAGGCTATTGAAAATAGAAGGGAGCTTCAAAAAAGGTTTTGAGAGCATTCTTTTTTTCTTATTCCACTTTTCCAAAAGTTTTTTGAAGCCCCTTGTACCATCGCTTAGGCTAAGTACACCTTAGTGCTCCAAATGCCAGATCAGCTATTCTGAAAGAATTCGGCCAAGAAAAGTCAAAAACAGTTCAGAAGTTTATTTATCTAAAGCTTCTACTTTTGGCTTTTGTTTCTATAGGTTCAGAAGAGGAATTTTATAGAGAATATTATTCCAGTCATCATCTCCCTTAAGACTCTGCTGGAGAAAAGTAAGATCCCAGCGTTGAAGGAACTCATGGCTTATCTCCGGGTAAGTGCTGACCAGGGTCCTTGTGCGGAGATGGTTCTCCATAACTCCGCACCTTCTGAGAGTCAGCACGCTTACAGCAGCCAGAGAGCGATTGAGCTGAGCAGCTGTTAGGTCACACTGCTTCTTGTGATGGCCAAGCTGGGCCACCTGGATGCATTACGATCACCATCCCAGCCTTGAGAAGGGAAAGGGAGTAGCGATTGGTGGCAGTCCTGCACCCTTTTATTAAGTTCTCTACTTAGGCTACACCTGCATGATCCTACGTCGTTTATCCTAGCAGGAACCTTGGGAAATGCCTATTAACTGGCAAAGTGTCAGGAATGTGGTTGATGCAAGTTTGGTTGATATTCTTAGGATTCTATCATTATGCTAATTAACCTACTTGTTAATGTGACAAATCGGTTGCTGTCAGCAAAATAAACTTTTATTTAAATCTCATGAACATAATTACTTCATTTTGTGTCCAAGCTTGTCTTTGATTCAAGAAGACATCAAAGGATGCTTCCGGGTCTCTTGCAGGAGGTGATGCAGGACTATCGGGATGAGATCAAGGACTTCTTTGCAGTTGACAAGCAGCTGGCATCAGAGCTGGAGTATGACATGAAAAAGTACAGCGAGCAGCTAGCCCAGGAGCAGGAGCTGGCAGTGCAGCCAGATGTGACCAGGACCGCAGAAGGGACCAGCGTAGTACCAGCAGGGCAGGTAGGACGAGAACCAGCCTGAGCTTGAGGTCCTGCTTTCTCCAATTAGTTGTTCGAGCATCCTGACAAATCCAGAGATAATCCGAGATCAGGCTGGCTTAAATCTTTGTAGTGCCTTTTTTCTTGACCACCATCCTGTTCACTTCCTAGTGAGACAGACAGGCAACTATAAGGCCATGCCATGTGAATTTGTCTGCAGTACTGTTACAGTAACAGTTGAGGGAATGGTGTAAGTGCTCAGAAAGTGAGCAGGCAGTGAGGTTATTTGATGATAGGGATTCTAGATCATTCTCTCTCCCTGGGTGTTTCATGTGTTTGCAGTCTTTCTCCCAGCATGCCTTCCTCTCTGGAACACCGTGTCACTTGGGCTGTTTTTAATAGTTCTTTGTTGCTCACCTTAGCCTACTGCCCCATGGAATCCAGAAAGGTCCGCTGTAAGAATGATGAAGATGACCTCATGCCTTTGTCTCTTCATTAAAATCGAAACAGCTACTTCTGGCACTCTGCCACAACTACTGTTTATACAGAGAAAGCTCTACTTGTCCGGGTCTGACATGTTTTAAAAATAGATTACTAGAAGCCTTTCTCACAGTATTTGAAGATTCTGTAGAAAACAAGTGCTAGAAGGTAAATATTCTTTATCTTTTAACAGGTTGCTCCAAGTTTAGACTTACTGCCAGCTCCTGCTACCCTAGAAAATGAAGCTGTGGCCCCTGATGGAAGCCTTCCTGCAGCCCCCAGATTAAGCACTGGCAGAGCACCTACTTTGCCTTCTTCACCTGACCCTCCACCGTTTAAGATGTTACTATCCAAAGCCAGGTATGGTGACTGCGAACCTCAGAGGCCCAGCTGTAGTTGCAGTAGGCCTGCTTCGTGTGAGTGCTCCCCGTGAGGTTTGAGTGATCCACTGGAAGACTGGTTCATTCTTGTTCTTTCTGTGTCCCTGTGCTTGTGCTGGATCTACAGTTAGGAACCCATGCTGTGACATGTCTCTCCTCCACAGACCCATGTCCCTGAGCACTATCGCAATCCTGAACTCGGTCAAGAAAGCTGTGGAGTCGAATAACCGGCACAAGAGCCAGAGCTTAGGAGTGGTACCTTTTACTTTGAATTCCAGAAGTTCGGAAAAGAACAACGAGCAGGGTATGCCTGTGGGTTGGCGCCAGAAGGGTAATAGAGCTCTTTGTTGTTCAGTCTCAGAACGTGAAAGCATACGGATGCACACAGACCGCGCGGGCCGCATTCCGTTTCAAATGGCTTCAACCTCCTAATTATTGCAACACATAAATAACATAGCAGGCGTTGGATATTGAGTTCTAGGTCATACCACCATGCATATTTAAAATAAAAGATTTAGAAAATAGCTTGATTGAAAGGTAAAACTCATACATACCGCTGAATGTTCATTCTTCCTGTGTTGCTTCCCACACTCATGGGTGTTTTGTGTTATTTATAAAATTGCAATCATAGTGTGAATTGGTTTTTAGCCTGCTTCCCAACACACTGATAGTCATACATAGTGAGACTTGCACAACTGTATTTCTAGTGCCTTTTTAGCAGTTTGTCTTGTGAAAGTGCTACAATTCATTCACCACATTATTCTTGAAATGTAGGTGTTTTCAGATTTTTTGTTATTTTAAAATTTTTATCATGTATATTACTCTATATAAATGTGACAAGTCATTCATGTGCAAACAGCCAGTCATATAAGTCGCCCTTACTAATTCCCAGAAATCTGCGGCCATAAACACTTGAAAAGCTCTTCCAAGACACAGTCCGTGCCCAGCCCTGCACCTCCTTGGGAACCCCGATTTTCTAATTCCACAATTTTTTTTTGCGTTTTAGAGACCAAAAGTGCTATTGTTTTACTTTCCATTTATTGGAATCCTGGTGAGGACGGACAGTTTTCTCCTGTTTGTCCTGTATTGCCATTTTCCTTTATTGCCTCCTTACACGGGTATTTAGTGTGTATCTTTGCAAATGCTTTCTCATCTGGTTGCTCTGCTTTTTGAGCCTGCTTTGGCATATTTGGACAGATGAAAACGTTTCCATTTCATCCTAGACTCCACATACAGCCTGAACCAAGAGACTCGTGGCTCTATTGACCATGTGAACAAACGAGCAATCAGCACCCCAGACCGTGAGTAACTAAGTTGAATTGGCTCGTCCCAGCCAAAGTTCTTTATGTCTTTTCTGGAGTTGCAGTTAAATTTTTCTGTTGCAAGATACATCAATGAAATGAAAACTTCAGGTACTCAACAACTTGCATATTCAGTGGGGCTTCAGAAAGATAATTGAAAAATGGAATTAAAAGATAACGGGATTTTCCCGCAAACTTTTTGAATCCCCGTCATGTTCGATTGAGTATTTTATCATCATATTGATTCATTTAATGGAGCACTTACTGAATGTTAAGCACCTGCCAGTGCTTTCACGTGTAGTAACTCATCTGAACTTCAGCCTCCCCATGAGGTAAGTACTAGTGGTGTCTTGATGTTACCGACGTTGCCACTGAGTCCCAGGCACATTTTAGGTGGCTTCCTGTGGCAAGGAAAGCATAGAGCCGGCCCTTTTCCCCATGCCTGCTGCTTCTCCGTGGGGGCGGGGCCCCTGTGCTTGGTCTGTTTACTTCCTGGGGTGATCTGGTATTAGCACTGGAATGCACCCTGTTGGCATATTCCTTCAGCTCCCAGGAGACGAGCCTGAAAGTCCGTGGCTCTTGAGGATGGCATGGCACTGCTGGTATTGTCAAATCTGTCTTGTCGCTCACTGTTGGGTGTTTCCTAATACCTTAGTCTGTCATTTCAAGCTGGAGGTAAGTAGTTAAAAGTGTAGAATATTTTTTCCCCATTATGTTTTTATGACTTGTTTCAAAACCCCCCAAAGCCATTATTTTCAGAAAACTGAGTACAGAGACCTCACTGTTCAAAATGGTGTGGTGTATAGTGCCCGGCCTGTGTCTCCTTTGTGCGTCCCTCACTCCCGTGCTCTCTCCCACCGTGTGGCGACTTTCTGTGTGTGTGCACTGAGCCATGTGCTGCCGGCTTCAGGTCATCCACATGTCACCGTGTCATCCTAGAACATCCCCTCACTCCTGTTCATCCTTCAGAAGTCTTTCTGAGCTGCAGACTGGGTCAGGGATCCTCCCATGGCATCTGAAATTCTCAGCTGTACTTACCGCTGAGCACAGAGCCTTGCCATATTACTCTTCTCTGTCCGCAGAGTGCCCAGAACAGGGTGGGTGTAAAGCAGATTAGGTCCTAAGTGATGGCAGAGCTGGGCTTAAACTGAGGTTTTCTGATGTGGTGTGTGGGCTTCTCGGGTCTCTCTCCCCAGTCTCCAGCGAGAGAAGAGTGTGCCGATGTTCTTCTTTGTGGCAGTGTAGCACCAGCATCGAGCCGTCCCCTCGTGTGGTCGGTATGCATGTAGAACGTGCCTCTTGTGTTCCGGACACTTGGCTGTTGGCTGTTTACCCGGTGGTGCTGTGATCTCTTAGAATATTTAACAGATAATAGGTTATTGTCCTTGAAATTGCCATGTTAAGGAACATCAATGGATGAACTGAATTCCCACCCCCATGTCTCCGCAGATGACAACCAAATCATAATTGTTATCATTAAGGGCAGTGGGTAATTTGGGGTTCATGTCGCGTGAGCCAGTGTGGCATTAGGTATGCAGGTCTTTTTTATCTGTTCTGTGCTTTTGGCTTGGCACCAAGAGCTGCTGTCCTGGCGGTTGGGTATCACCGGCCACAGGAGCAAGAAAGGTGTATCCCACTAGTGACTCTGCTCCTCTGTTGCCCCTGGCTGCAAGTTTCGTGGCCGCGTGCACTCTTGCAGATACACTTGGCATCGATGCTGCTTCAATTTGCACGAGTGGAGCCTCCTGACACTAAGAGCAGGCTCACGGCCACCACAACAGTGGAGCACTTGTTGCATCTCATGTCTCCTGAATGTAAACTTCCTGCCGGTGCAGATGTGGACGGTGTTCCTTTAGGCTCTCCCATTAATGTTCTTTCTTTGGAGAATTCCTTTGGAATAACTCAGAAGAACCCAATTCTACCTTCTCTGGTTTATAAATACTGGTGCTTTTGACAACTCTGTAAGTTCACGTGTGGATGGATGCCTGTCAGGAAGAGGTCTCTGCTCTACAAGACTCACTCAGCTATTCTATGCACCTTTGCTGCTCTGCATTAACATGGTGGTTTTGCTAAATGGCAATACTTTTCAGAGCTAGGATTTTGTCTGGCAGTCTGGTGGGAGGGGAATTAGTGTGTGCCTCTTATCTTCATAATTCAACAGTGAGGGACTCTGAAGCAAGGGGTAGGCACCTGGAAGAAAGGTTGATGATTTCCACTGCCATCCAGTCAGCGCTCTTCAGTGCTTCTGAAACTGTACGTCTGTCTGAGAGCAGACAGTCTTTCTTTCAGCCAGAGTGGTCAGTGGGTTTGAACCACCTGCCTTGCACTTAGTTCGCAGCCACATGCTTAATCTAATGGCACCACCAGCACTCCCTGGATAAAAATGACAGCCTTGGAAACCCGATGGAGTAGGTTTCCGCTCTGCCCCGTAGGGTTGCTATGCATTGGAACAGACCCAACAGCAGTGGGGCTAACGGAGGGGGAATTCGGCTGGCAGCACAAGAATAGACCTCACAGATACGGTCACAAAACGAGGCCTGTTAATAGCAATGTTGAAGATGCAAGGGAGTTTCACAGTGTTTCAGGGGGAAAATTCCTTATTCGTTAATTCCATTTTTTCACTCATTTTTAAGCTCCTTCATGAAACTGCCACAGCCTATCAGTACAATTTGAGTGGCTATTGGTGCATAGCATTGCAGTACACCGATGGGTTTTAAATATGGATGTAGCGGAGGAAAGTAAAAGGAAATAGAAGAAAGAACTAGGAGGCAAAAGACATTTATGGAGGTGTAAACATAGGCAGGTACATATGTAAATATATTAATATATTAACATATAATGATACGGATCTAGGTCTATGTACATATATTTCTAGGTTAAGTATTAAGGTAGCAGACAGACGTTGGACCTCTACTCAAGCCCTCCCTCAACGCAAGAACACTTTGTTCTAAGAATGTGCCATTCTGTGATGCTCACTGAAGACAAAGTGGGTGCATAAGCAAATGTGGTGAAGAAAGCTGATGGCACCTGACTATCAAAAGATATAGCATCTGTGGTCTTAAAGGCTTGAAGATAAACAAATGGCCATCTAGCAGGGAAGTAACAAAGCCCACATGGAAGAAGCACACCAACTCGTTTGATCACAAGGTGTCAACAGGATCCGGTATCCGGCATCAGAAGACCCAAAACAACCAATTTGATACGAACGAGGGGATTAAAGTGGAGACCCAAAGCCTATCCGTAGACAAATTGGACATCCCCTCACAGAAGGGTCACAAGCAAGGGACGAGCCAGCCAGCATGCATTGCAGCACCTGTGAAACACCGCAACATTCCTCTAGTTCCTTAATCCTCGCCCCATCACCACCCCAGTTCTACCTCACAAATCCGGCTAGACCAGAGCATGTACACTGGTACAGATAAGAGCTCTCGACACACGGAATCCAGGACAGACAATCCCCTCAGGAACAATAATCACTCCAGGGAGTAGTGATACCATGAAGATAGGGGGAGAAGGGGGGAACCGACTGCAATGATCATTGAACAATCCCCCACCCCAGGTGACGAACAACAGAAATGTGGGGGAAGGGAGATAGCAGATGGTATAAAATGTGAAAATAAAAATAATTTATAAATTATCGAGGGTGGGAGGGTGGAGGAGGGAGGGGCAAAAAGAGGAGCTGATAGGGCTCCAGTAGAAAGAAAATGTTTTGAAAATGATGACAGTATATGTACAAATGTGCTTGATACAGTTGATGTATGGATTGTTATAAGAGCTGTGAGAGCCCCCGATAAAATGATTTACTTGAAAATAAAATAAACATGGATGTAGCAGTGATAAAGTTTATTTCATAAAAGGTCTTACAAAAAGTATGATGGGCTTTCACTGCTTCAGGCTGCAACAGAGCCATGGGGACAGGGTGTTTGCAGTTAAGTAAGAAAAATGATTTCTTTTTTAAATCATTTTATCGAGGCTCGTACAACTCTTATCACAATCCGCACATACATCAATTGTGTAAAGCACACTTATACATTCGTTGTCCTCATCATTCTCAAAACTCGCTTTCCGCTTGGGCTCGTGGAATCAGCTCATTTTCCTTTCCCCTCCCTTCCTCCCCGCTTCCCCCTCCCTAATGAACCCTTGATAATTTATAATTTTATCTTATCTTACACTGTCCGATGTCTCCCTTCACCCACTTTTCTGTTGCCCATCCGGCAGGGAGGAAGTTATATGTAGATCCTTGTGATTGGTTCCCCCTTTCTACCCCCCCTTCCTTCGCGGTATCGCTACTCTCACCGCTGGTCCTGAGGGGTTCATCTGTCCTGGATTTCCAGTTCCCATCTGCACTGCTGTGCATGTTTGCAAGGTAGAATTGGGATCATGATAGTGGAGGGGAGGAAGCGTTTTAAGAACTAGAGGAACGTTGTGAGTTTCATTATTGCTACACTGAACCCTGAGTGACTCATCTCCTCCCCACTACCCTTCTGCAAAGGATGTCCAGTTGTCTACAGATGGGCACTGGGTCCCCATCACACACTCCCCTCATTCACGATATGATTTTTCATCTGAAAAATGATTTTATTGAAGAAATAAAAATTATAATTAGACTATAACTTAATATTAATTCCATGATGGAGGCATATACAAAATGGCATAGGCCCGGGAGTGACCAACCACTAACCCACTAAGGAAGCCTTTGTTTTGCATTTGCTTCTCAAATACTGTGTTGTCAGGTCTGGAGATGGGGGTGGGAATTCTGGGCAGAAAGAACTTGGCTTGACCCAGATGTTGCAGCTCAGGACATGTTGAGTGTGGCTAGACCATCTGTATGCCCCATGGAGGCTGTAAAAGCAGCTCTGGCCCAGCTTGCATCAGACTAAAGGTGGATTTCAGGCCCACCTCTACACACTCAGGTGGGTGCTCAAGTAGGGCTATAACCTAATCCGATGTTTACCTAAGCACCGCTGGTCACACCGGGGATCATGGTAAGGTCCATAAAGTTAGTTCTAGCTCATCACATCCCTGTTTACAACATCATGAAACATGGCCTGGGCCTGCACCATCCTCACACTTGGTGTAGATCCATCTCACAGCCGAGTCTTCTTGATGATCTTCTATTTACCAAAAACGATGCCCTCTTCCAGGGGCTGGTCCTCCCGATAATATTTCTAAAGTAGCTGAGACAACGTCTCGCCATCACCATGTCTAAGGAGCATCCTCATTTTTAAGGGACAATAGCTATTTAAGTATAGTAGTTGCCAACATTTCTTCAGCATTTCGCTTGTACGAGGTAATGTGATGGGAGAGCCCTGGTGGTGTAGTGGCTAGAAGTTGGGCTGTAATGCCCATGGTCAGCAGTTTGAACCCACCAGCATCTCTGTAGGAGAAAATCCCATGAACAGTTAGTCTCAAACCCACGGGAGCTTGCTATGAGCCAGCATTGACTTGAGGGCAGTGAGAGGTTATGGGGTACGCTGTTACATGAATAATCTCATTTAATCCTAACAAGTACCCTGTGAAGGAGGTACATTTTTATGCCTAATTTACAGATGAAGAAACGAGCTTTCTTAATTTTAAAGTGGTTCATTAACCCAGGACGAGGTAGAGCCAGAATTCAAACTGAAGAGTCTGTTTCAGAGCATGGGCCTCTCCTGCCTCCAAAGGGGGAAATTCTCAGTGGGAAACCCACCACTGCCTCGAGGGTGAGGTGAACGGAGACGTGGACGTGAGGCAGGAGGCAGCAGACAGAGGGGGTAAAGAAAGTGGCAGACACAACGTGCTTCGATGTGGAGACTAGGATTGACCGTTCATTGAGTGCTGTCGTAGCTTAAAGAACAACAGTTGAGGAGTGGTGGTCACGAAGGGTGTCCAGGGAGTCCAGGTGGGGTACAATGGGAAATATAAACTTAGAACCGAGGACCAATCAGAGTTAGAGCAGAGGGTCATTCATGAGGCAGTAATTGATATGGGGATAGAAGAGAAAAAGCCAAAGTCTGTAACTAGCAGAATACTTAAGGCCAGCAAAGGGGAATGGCCAATGAAACGGGAAACTCTAGAGAGACGGATACCGGGAAGGGCGACTCCGGAGGCCTGCCCTGTTCAAATCCAGGGCTCCGTAGATGGATGGTGGAGAGAGAGGCTGAATAGAAACGAGCGGAAAAGCTGGCCTGACCTGGCTCATGCTGCTCTTTGGGATGTTCTTTCTAACCCAGTTTTTACAATGGTGGCGTTTCCCTTTTACCCAGGGACCATCAGTGAGATCTCCTTTGGAGCAGGGGTCAGTTACATCAGCATACCCAGGACTCCTTTTGCACACAAAGGCAAGTTACTGGGGGTGCCCTTCATGTCGGACATTGGCCACATTGGGAGTGCTGGGTGGATCAGGGGATGAACCTGTATTTTCCTCCCTTTCAGAGAAAAATGAAGCCCAGAGTCAAGGGACCGACATACTGTGTTTATCTTTGCCTGATAAGCCGTAAGTTTTCCAAGAGTTCTTTTAAGGTGGATGGTTTGTCGTGATTTTTCTTGTAGTTTCAAAATAATGATTTCTTCTCCTTCCCTTCCCCCAACCCCCTAACCCAGGCCTCCCCAGCCTCAGCCATGGAACGTGAAGTCTCCGGCCAGAAATAAAGACAATCCAGCCCCCAGTAGGAGATCCCTCCGAATGACCCCCCTGAAAACAGCCAACTGAAGGGTGTGGCAGGAAGGACTTGCTGGATGCGTGTGGAAGGCACTGCCTCTCTCCCCTTGAATCCATCCCAGTGGTGCTTTCCATCTCGGAATGCCAAAGCCCTTCTTTCGGATTCCAGCCCTGCGACGTACCACACAGTTTTAATCTTTCTTATTTCTTGTTCTGAAACGTGGTTAAAAGATTGTAGAATAATGTAAGTGTCAGACTTAAGACTTCCTTATGGCTAACCTTTAGCTATTTAATATTATAACTTTATTCCATTTGAAAGTGTCATGTGAATTCTGATAAGCTATATCCCATTAATAAAGATCAAGCAATAAAAACAGCCTTCCCGGACTCAGTAGGATTTTTCTGTTTTTAGTCATTTTAATTTCACATAAAGTGTTTGAGAAGAAAAGAGTGATTCAGCTTGTCTTTAAGGTTTGGTTCATCAGGCCACTTCTTGCCTTTGTTCCCACAAAAAAGGCTATTTTTCTCCCAACAGTGGACATAAATACAACTCTTACTTATGAAAAAACAGCGTTATGTCTCTTATCCACAGTTGTCTGCACTACTGCTGTGTGTAGCAGTCTGCCCGTGGACTGCTGACACAATGATGGGATACTTTTCATCTGTTAGCCCCATTACGTAAACTTAAAACACTTTGTGTTATAGTTTCATGTCAACTCGAAGATATATAAAAATATAGGAGTAGAGTTTAGACTGGCAATCAGGTGACTCCTTGTGGGCGTGGCCTTCTCATAAGGAGGGTCCTAGGAATCTCCCCTTCACTTTCTCGCTTGGAGACCCTGGAGATGTGCCCAACTGCTATGGGATGGATCCACATAACTGCACCCACTGGCCTGTGACATTCCGGTGTCAATGCGTGTGGCTTCGTGAGTCTTAGGTGGGCCTTATGGACTAGCTCTAGACTTAAGGACTTGAGTTGGGACCGGGCTGGGATGTTTTCTCGATATATAATTATTTCTTGATATACAGCTCTTATATATATATATATACATGAGTATCACTGGATTTGTTTCTGTAGTCAAGCCAACCAAACACACAAAATATATTTATGTTCTGTTAAAGAACAACCAGAAATTGTTCCCTTAATACCAGCATCACAGAAGTAAATTGTTATTGTTAAAAGCATATGCTTAAATATACACTGATGATTGCATTTGAGGTATGGAATGTCAGTGTGTTCTACCTCCGCTCTCAGCTGCATGTACTGTCCCACGCCCTGGGCTTATTACTGAGAGCAAGTGACAAAGCTGCCACAAAGCTCTATCACTGGTCTCTAAACCTAGGACTAGAACATGGTAAAGGTATTTGCCTACCCAAATTCTAAGAAGGGGTAAACCCAACATTAAGAACACATGAAAAAGAAAGAATGAGGCTAAGTTGATTTTTTTTAAGCTTTTATAAATGGGTTTAACAAAAACCAAGTTATACGTGTGTTATGTTACTACATGTTTGTAACATCTATGTACAGCAACAGCCATACCAAAGGCCAGAATAAATAGCCTTGTACAGGCCTCTGAATCATTAGTCACATTCTTCAAAATACAGGTTACCTTTTCTGTCTACACTTTTACAGTAATAGGCAACTATTTCTAAGACTCCATCCTTTCCGTCTGTCTGCTTTTTCAGACCCAGCCACACGTGGCACGAGGGTAGACAAGGCTTTAGGGCATTAGAAGGGAGGCAATAAGGTGACCCTGTCACCATGACAACCAAGAGTAAGATTCCCCACCAAAGAAAAGGGGGTGCATCCCTTTCTACCAAGAGGAAGTCAGGGTGAAAGGACAGTCAACACTGCATTCAAATGCAAAAGGTAGGTACCATTAAAGCAGTCACTAAAGAGCTGCCCCTGCTTCTGCCAGACATCCCCTGGCCACACATTTCAGGTAACTTAGAAAAGCTAACGTGAGCCTTAAGTATTCAATTTTTAAAAACTGTCAAAGCATTACAAATCAAGACAGAAAGTTTAATCACAAGATGAGTATGTACTTATACATAAAAACCACCCTTTAAGTACACAACGGAATGGGGTGCCCCCTCTGAGAAGCTCCTTGCTCCAAACCTTACCGCATCATCAGCCTAACAGGGCAATGTGTTTGACTCTCAGAACATCCACTCTTAAAGAACTCTGAATGATGTTTCTACTCTCCACCACAAAGTGAGCAGTGTCTGAGGCAGGTAAAAAAAATTAAATCATTTAAAAACTGCTTTTGATTCGGGCATTTTACTTATTTCACCATCAGGCTTTTTGTACCCTGGGCCGCACGATCATCTTCACAAAGCTAGACTGGCTGTCACCACCTAACAGTTTACTGTAAGGAGAGCACGGGGTGTCGGAGTGCTTTTCTTCAAGGCAGAGAAAAACCGGGAAATTCATATCCTTTTAAAATTAAAAACAAAACAAAACAACAGCATCGCAGTTGACAGATTCGAATTCAAAACTACCTGTGGCCTGTTCAGTCTTAACAACACTCACACACTAAGGTGAATTTGAAAAACAGAACAGTAGTTGCTTTGTTTTGTGAGCCATTCACAACCCAAAGGTTGGCATCTGGGAACCCAAAGGCTGGGCTGCCCACCAGGAAACGACCCAGCTCTCCCCAGGTACCCACCTTAGAACTGTCCTGGAAGGAACGAAGTGGCACATGCTACAGGAAACCAGAGAATTAGCTGACCAGGGGACAGAGCCGTAGTCACAGCTCTTAAGAGAGAAGTGGACACACTTGGAGGTAAGTAGCCATCGCCCCTACAGAGGAGTGGTGTGTGGCTCAATTTCAGGAGTTGCCTAAAGTGGTTTGGACACATGTCTAAGAGCTGCTGGGTGGTCTTTGGGCAAAGGTAATTTTAGTAATCCAAAGAAGAGGCAGTTCAAAGCTAACCTGAGAGCTCTTTCATTTGAAGAGATGGACAGATTTCACCATTGCTCCACTGGAACTTAAGGTTTCCTGAGCAGCAATGGTCTGATACATACATGTCCCAAGTCCTCTTGTGAAAAATGCTAAAACTTAGGTGGGAAAAGGAATGTCCCAGTAAGCCTCCTCTAGAGGCTTGCTTCGGTAAATATTCTAATTCTGAGATATTTTCCAATATAACTAGTAGCTTGGAACTCCTGCCCAGTTAAACATTTTTTTGGTAAAAAAATAGGTTATTTAACATTGCATGACAACATATTTACAGTTTAAATAGAAATTTTCTTTTCAGTAATCAAAATACATCTTTAGCAAAAATTTAGAATGTAAAATTTTATAAAACAAGACGCATAAAAAAGCAAAACATAATTTCGGTACCATTCCAGATTTAGCTTAAGGTGAAGGCTTTCCTTATATTGAAACCCGTCATGGGTAAGAAGACCCCTTTCCAGCAAGCAAGCTACCTTTTGATTGGTCGTTTTTACAAAATGCTGGTCCAAAAAAGATTCTCCAAGATAGACACAACACACTGATGACAACATGTTTTAACAAATCGTGCGGTGGTCTAAAACCAGTCAGCTACATAAGCGTCTGGGTTGTGTTTCCTGCTGGCCCTCCGGTTCCCGCTGCTGGTGCCGTGCCCCCATGCGGTTCTCATACTAGGTGCTGAACAACGCGTGGCAAACAGGCCTCACATCCTCAGCGCCCCTAACCGGAAATGCATGTATGTGAGCACGTCAAGTTCAAGTCACCCTGAAACGTGGGCATCAGACCAGAAGCAGACTGGGAATCAAACTCGGTGAACGAATTTGGCTCTTTTCCTTGTGATTATTAAGCCCATCTTGAGGAAAACCCTTTTATTCGCGTGGCTTTTTTTAAAAAAAAGAGAGAAGCGGTCAACTTTGGCCAAGAAAGAAGAAGCTTGTGCCCGAGTGTCTAGCTCTTTGCAAGTGCACTTTGCTCACAGGTTGCTCTTCATCGGAGTTTCTATGGAGAGGTATTTGCAGGTGCTCTCTTCGCCGTAAAGGCAGATTTTAGATCACAAATGATGACTTGTGTCGGAAATCACCCTGCAAAACAACACAAAGTTACAATGAGGCCACCCTCTGCCAACTGAGGGGCCACAGGGATCAATTCTTGACAGTGGCTTTCCCATTTCCCTGTGGAGACAGACCTAGAACAAAACTGGAATCAAGCGAAACCATCATCCTTCAGGACTAGCACCCAGCGCTTACAAACTAGAAGCATCGTTTACAGTGGACATCGATCACTGAAGTGCTAGCCCCGCAGAGTCTGCAATATTAATTAGGAAATCTTCCTAGGGATTCAGCTTGGTTTCCCAGGAGAAATGACAGGTACACCGACATTGCTAGAGCTTTTCAAGCCTGTCTTCATGCATGCCCCTGGCTGCTTACCTCATCGTTGGTCCTGATGCAGTTAACACCATCAGGCTTCCCTGGGCTCTTAGAGCTGTGGAAGACAAGAAAAGGAAAGGTCAATGACTACTGGTTGTCACATTCATGTCAACTTGAACTCTTGATCTTGCCTTATCAGGTCGGCTACCTTTCTCCATCCTGTTTGTTGTTGATGAAGTAACCGCGTCTGTATGCACAGCAGATCCCCACTGTTATCAGGGCCAGTACTGCAAGGACAACCAGGACCCCTCCAATAATTCCACCAATGTTCAGGTCATCTGATGAAAAGGAGAGTGGGATGTGTCTGCGTTAGAAGAGCAGTGGAACACTTCCTCATAGTGGGGCGAAACTGTGTTGCAGTTTTCTGCAAAGTGATTATAATTGGCTCGATTTTGGGATACCTTATGTTTCAATAATCCTGCCACCGCAGAAAGAAGCGTCCATTAACACTCACTGTTAAAAGTCGGATGATTAGCCGTGTTTCCAACACCAGGACACTTTAGAAAGTCGATTTTGAGGAGATAAACACACCAATAATTCATTTATCGAGGCTGTTGGGTGTTTTTGAAACTTTCTCATCATGCCTGCCAATGTACACAAGAGGATTTGGGTGAAGCCAGTCCACTCCAGAAGACGCAGGCCATGGCAGGCAGCTATCTACATGGATGGTCTCTCACTATTCCCTTCCCACTCTTGGGATGACATCTTTTCAAAAAGTAACTCTCAGGAAAGACCCTAAATGCTCGTCCATGGACGAATGGGTGAACACCATGTGGGAAACACATACAAAGGACTCGTACTTGATGACCAAACGGAGCAACGTGAATGAACCTGGAACACATTCAGCGGAGCTAAATAAGTCTATTACAGAGGGAATTACTGTACTCACTTTTATGAATCGTCATGAACAGGTCGATACATAAAAAGGAATGTTCACTACTAGTTACCAGAGGTGGGGGTGAAAGGGAAACTGCAGGAATACTCCCTAGGGAGTAGTGACGTTTTGTTGATAGTAATGGGAAAAGTGGCGCCAAGATATGGGTAACGTTTGCACAACGTAAGTGAAGGAACCCATGAGTCAGAATCGACTTGCTGGGGGCCGTTGAGGTGAAGGAAAAGGGATGGATGAGCAAACGTAACAATGAAAATAACTGAGAAAACGGTGAGGGATATAAACAGTCACCTCATGGGATCCGTTCTCTGGGCTGGGGCTTAAAGCTCTGAGCTCAGAGGATAATCTAGCCAATGCACACAATATAGTTCTTAAAGTTTATGTTCTACTTCCCAGTATGGAGACTAGTGTTGGGGTACAGTCCCCTAAGATACAACTCTCGGTATTTATTCAAAGGAACAAAGGAGAAGAAAGAGCAATGACTCAGCACTAATGATGGCGATCAGCCACTGCTTCTTCCTGCTACAGACAAGATCTAGATGGTGCCCACCCCCCACTACTGAGCTTTCTGACCAAGGGCACAAGAAATGAATCCTGATAAAAGGGAAGGGAAAGTTTCAAATTCTTAGAGTCTACACTTATTAGATACCTTGAACCTGAAGAAGTGTTCAAGACTATAACCCTGAGTGAGTCTTTAACTCTTGAATTCAAACTATCTCCTGAAATCACTGTTAAAGGAACAGTTTAGCCCAAAGGGCATCACTGAGTATTGTGTTAAAAAAAGTCAAGAATGCTTTTGGTTTCCGTTGTTGTGCAAACCTTTTTCCTTTTAGCAAAAAAAAAAAAAAAGCCAAGAGCTATTTTAAAGCACAGCAGAGAAGGCTGGCAGGGCTGGGAGTTTAAGTAAATGGAAAGTAATAAACTAAAATAGAAATACTGAGAATATTGATACTGTGTGAACGATGTAACTCGTATAACCAATCACATCATGGGTTTTGCTGTGTATATTTTTGCAAAAATTAATTTTAAAAGTTCTTGGGAATAAATTTAAAAAATAAAATAACTCACAGACTTCCATCTCCTGTTCCTCACACCTGGCTGAGCCTGCATCATTGGAAGCAATGCAGTAATACTGCCCAGAATCTTCTTTGTGAACAGCATGGAAAACCTGTTTCAGAAAATAACCAGTACATCATTAGGCCAGTCAGCCAGGCAGAACACTGAGAATCAGGCAGGAGAGGCTGACATTCAACCTGAACCTACTAAGTCCAGAACTTGGTAAATAATGTCT